TTATTTTTTCTCCACATTGTTGTTAATGCAAAATAGACTTTTAAATAGACTAATTACAAAATAGGTTTTTAAATAGGCTAATAGTTCATGCCAGACTTTAAAAAGGTCAGGCTAGACCTATAAAAAAAGCATATAATAAATAATAAATCAGACTTAGGCTTTAATTTTATACAATAGGATTGACCTATATATTCAAAGTTTGGTCTAACCTAGGCTATTCTCACCCTTAGACACCATCTAACCTTTTGAGTTTTGATTAGGTCGGGTAACGAATCTATCCAATCACTACAAGAAAAAGTTAAATTTCTGACGGATAATTTCGCACGGACAAAAATCCGTCGGAAATTTCCCACAGATTTAGATCCGTCGAAAATTTCCCACGGAATTTTCAACAAAATTTTAACTGATGGAATTTCCGACGAATTTAAATCCGTCTAAAATTTTCGACGAAATTTCTAACGGATTTAAATCCGTCTGAAATTTCTGACGGAATTTCCCAGGATTTCAATCCGTCTGAAATTTTCGGCGGATTTGAATCCGTCTGAAATTATTAAATAAAATATAAGCCAATTATTTTTAAAATGCAAGCAATCCTGATCCCATCGATACACACAACAATGCACTATATAATATTTTCATTATTATATGGGTGTTTTCAAAATAGAAATATATTGTAATGAATAAGATAAATATAAATAAGAGTGAGTGAGGTATGGCTTACCTATATATAATTATATGTTTAGGTTATTATAAATTATAAACTAATTAATGTAAATGTGTTTTTTTTACTTATCTTGAAAAATACCAACACATGACGTCCAAATTTAAGAATAACATATCTTTTTTTTTAATTTTTAAAAATTACTTATATCTTTGAAAATAACGTTATTAATTAAATAAGGGGGAAAAAAGTTAAATTATGTTCTGCAAATTATATATATGTATCTATCATTTATTTCTAAATTATATCCAATACTATGTCATTTTCATGAAAACTTTCATTGATCTTCAATTTTGAAAATAAGATTTTTTTCAATTCATTTTTAAAATTATTACTTAAATCTAATATATTTTTTAAATCACAGTGTGCATGATATTTAAAATAAATTTCAAAAAAGTTGAAATAATGAAATAAGATATCAAATCTCATTTAATTATTGATATTTGTATTAATAAATTATTTTCTCTTAATAGTATATAAATAGTATTATCTTATATAAGTAGTTGTATGTGCCACTTAAATAAATAAGAAAATTAATACTCACAGAATTTCCCATGGATTTCCCACGGATTTATCCGCGGGTAATTTCCCACGAATTTGTCTGTGGGTAATTTCCCACGGATAAATTCCTGGGTAATTTTCCACGGACTAATCCGTGGGTAATTTCCCACGGATTTGTTCGTGGGTAATTTCTCAATAACTTTATATTAAATGTGAATTTTGTAAATTCAACCGTTAAATTGAAAATCTTTAACTCTTAAATCATATATACAAAATGTTATAATAATCGAATATAATTTCTTATAAAACAAAATTAAATCTGTCAGAAAATTTATATTTTTGATGAGAAAATTTTTGTAGGAAAAGCTATATTATTGATGAAATATTTCAGACAAATTTATATTTGTCAAAAATGTAAGAACTGGTTTTAAATTTGATATGAAAATATTATGATATTATTAGATAAGATTTTAAGTTAGTATTTTATTAATGGTTGATAATTAAAAAATAAAACAAGGATAAATACATTTTTTGAATTTTATATGTTTGATTTAAGATAACTTACAAAATAACTCTTGGTAAAGTTATTCCGCTCAATAACTCATCGTGTGTGTTGAATTTCATCGATCCAATTAATTGTTAATTTAAAAATTATTAAATTTTACTAATAATTAATATAAAAAAATTAATTAGTTTTGGAATAAATTATTTGCTAATTAACAATATAATTGAAACATTAATTATTTTAAATTATTTAACTAAAATCTTATTGACAATTTACTATATGATCTTAATATTTTTGTATAACTAATATCTGGTTTTAAATTTGATATGAGAATATTATATATAATTAGATAAGATTTTAAGTTAGTATTTTATTAATAGTTGATAATTAGAAAATAAAACAAGGATAAAAAAATTTTTTTTGAATTTTATATGTTTGATTTAAGGTAAATAAATATATTAAATTAATTAATAATTTATTTAAAATATTAAAATTTAATTTATAAGTATGTAATAAATAAATATTTATAATTTTATAAATTATATTATCATTATAAATTAAAAAATTTAAATAATTTAAATTATAATTTTAAATCGAAATAAGTAGATGTTAATTATAAAAGTAAGTACATATAAATAAAGAATAACTAAATATATTATTATTATTATTATTATTTGTAATATAAAATTATTATATATTATTATTATAGTACAAATATGAGATTGTATATTTAAGGATGACTTAAATTAATTAATTTGTACAAGTTATACTGACAACATACATATACATTTCGGTAGCTTACTCATCAGAACTTCACAGTTAAGCGTGCTTGACCTGGAGTAGTACAAGGATGGGTGACCCTCTGGGAAATTTCCCAGAAATTGCACAAATAAGGATAAAACACGCTAAACAGTGAAATATCGTGAAATAGAACCCTTGAAAGGCCAAATATGAGAGTTGTTACATTAATAAATTTATTAAAATTAAAAAAAAGAGTATAATTTCCGTAATTTCCCACGGATAAATCCGTGGGAAAATCCATCGGTAAATATTTCAGACAGGCAATTTACCGATGGATTGGTGTCCGTCGGTAATCCGTCGGAAATGCACTATTACCCACGAATTTTTGGCATTTCCCACGGATTCTGGCCGTCTGTAATAGCGAATTTTCTTGTAGTGAATCCTGGCTCAACCTAATCCAATTACACCCTTAAAAATAAGGAAAGAAGATAGATCAAACCACCATAGTAAGATTCCTCAATGGCTTGAGTCTTGAGATTAGGGATTGTAAGATCAAAAAGGAAGTCTATAAAATCAAAATACGATCTTGAATCCATTGAGTACCTATGAGTTTTTATGATAACAAACAAATTTTCTCAGGAAACTATTTCAGGTGAAGAAAATGTCATATTTCGTCTGTAAGACAAAATGCACCAGATAAAGTGCATCATCTGGATTAATGCCACATTTATTTTTCGTAAAAATAAAATAATAGTCTTTAAGAAGAATTAACTCTTTATTCCTTAACATATCAAATGAGAAAGCTTCCTCGAAGATAACAAAAGCTTTCAAAAGGAAATGTCAAATCATTGAGTCAGGAAAGAAAGAGAAAATCTCAAATGTTCTGAAAAAGGTATTGCAAAAATACTACTCTATGCTAAAACTACTATGCTATGCTCAAAATAGAAGGAAATGATTATAAGTAGTCATTAAGATTAAGAGATACACACTTAACTAAAATACATTTAATGCTTGCATTAAATGCATCAACAGTAATCTCTAGGATTAGCAAGGAAGACAAATGAAGCAACTTGTGAAGAAATTTGAACATTTAAATCCAACGTTGTTGTAACAATCATCTCAAAGCTGCTATATAAGCATCAAGCCTTCGAACTACAAAATAGTAGTGATAGTTTCAAAATATACACATATGAATGTCGCAATCGAGATCATAACAGGACGACCGAAATAAAATAAAAATATGAAGTCGCCACCAATGTTTATTTTTATAGAAAAACATTAGAAAAATCACAAAATAGAAAATGGTCTACAAAAATCAGATTTTTGAGTTCGAAAGTCAATTACGTGTAAGGAAGGTATTAGCACCTTATAACGTTCGTTCTAAGACGATTACCTTTAATTAATTAAAAAAATTATTTATAACTTATAAAATATTTATCTCACCTTAAATTAATCAAAATTAACTATAATGATGAAATGTATTTTATTTCACTAATGTGTTTTTTTAAAAATTAAAATTATCATTATTGTTATATAAAAAAGAAAGATAATATTATTTTTTATTTTTTCGGCTCGACAAGATTTATTTCCTTCTCCTACGTATCTCCATGTGCAATAGAGAATCAGAGTCATGTAGCTTTTGTAGAAAATATTTGTGTGTTGATATTTTTTTAATTTAATTTTAATATTTATTAAATTTAGGATTATGGATCTGTCTCAGCTCATTCACCCTAAAATATAAAATTGACTGAGGTGTATACCAAAGCCAATTCAATAAAATATTTAATTTTGATTATAATTATTGTTATCGATATTATTATTACTATGGTATATACTTAAAAGATTTTTTGGTTGTATATTTTTATTTTGGAGAAAAAAATTAAAGATATCAACTTGTCACAACTTGTATCTTAAATTCAAAGGCTAAAAAGATGTCACATCTAATTAATCATTACTCAAATAAAATCTTCGATATAATGACTTCAAATATTTATATTGAATATTGTGATAATATTTTCTGATTTTTAATTATATTTTGAATTTAAATAAGAAGGACTTTAAGATAACAAATTGTCATAACTTGCCTCTTTAAATTCTAGAATCAAGAGAATGTCACATTTAAATAATCTTTTTTTAAAATGATAGATATTATTAATATAAATGTTGATGAAGAATCTGATAGTTATTATTATTATTCATATTATTATTATTATTACCTAAACATACTAACATTACATAAGAACCTAATATATATATATATATATATATATATATATATATATATATTTTATATTATTTATACTATCTCTTGCTTCTTCTTTTTTTTTTTTTTTTTAAATATAATTATAATTATAATCATAAAATATATTATTTCAGTAAAATATATCCTTACCAGAAAGGAAAAGAAAAAACAAGAAAAAGTAAATATGATATGAGGGTCTAATTACTTTCTTAAAAAAATTAATTATTTGATAAATGGGCTTAGCCCATATGTTTGACCCAAAATGGAAAGAAAAGAGAGAGATCAGATGGCACTTAGCCATTTTACCAAAACCTAAAAATAGAAAAGAAAGGGATCTGAGAGGAGTGGGGGAGGCGCTCTATTAGGGTTTTGCGCGTCACCCCCCTCTATGGATGTCAACAGCATAGTGGTGTGTGGAGGTAGATTGGAGCTGTGGCCAAGGTGATCAACCGGGTGGAGAATAGGAGAGGAAACCTGTTAAAGAAAGAGATGAAAGAAAGAAGAGAGTTGTCGCCGGAAATCCCCTTCGACGACAATGCATGATGGTTCGTCATGGCTGCGCACGGTAAGGGTCCACAGAAGAAGCTAAAGGTCGACGTTGTCATCACCGAAAATCGCCTCTGACAGTAGCATATGGTGGTGCATGACGACACTCACGGTGGCTTGGTGACTCGTCATAGTGACCCATAACAAGGGTACAAGGGAAAATAATAAGTGAGCAATACCGCTACCAAAAATTGCCTCCGACAGCGACGCATGATGGGGTTCATGGGAACCACCGCCACATTCCCCTAGTACTGTTCACTTGGCCTTTTTTATTTTATTTTCGTCACTTTTCCTATTGTGGCTAGGTTTTTATTTGCTTGGTAGAAAACCTTTGGCTAAGGGTTTCAGTTGATTTAAAAGGGGGAAAGAATTGCTTTACAATGTCATTAAATATTGATTTGCATACATGTTATTTCAAAAAAAAGGGAAAATGACCACGTACAGAACAAGATTAGATAGAATATTGATACCCAAATTTGATTGCTCATTGCCTTTACTTCTTATTTTGCTTTCTTGTTTTGCTTGCTTCCTGCTTGAGCTCACTTAATTACTCTTGATAATTTGTTATTATCCTTGGTTCTCTCTGTTTGAATTTTTTTTCTTCTGTTCATGTTATGTTACAATATTTATAGACTCATTATCATTTGAATCCTTCTTTGGAAGCTGGTGCCAAGTTCATGCTTTTGGAAGCATATATAGAAGAAGCGTGATCTTAAGGACATGTTGGTGGCTATGTCAGAGAAGCTCAACAAAGCTTGTTGGAGGAGATTCAAGAGCAACAATAAAGTGTAGTATGGCAGAGATTTTGGGTACAGAGCAAGATATTGTTTCCTTCTTTCCTTGTCTTTTTCTGTTTCTTATTCTTTTTTATTTATGATTATTGTATATATTTTTATTTGAGTTTAAATCTGGTTTGTAAATTATTTTTATTCTTTAATCGTTGATTTAGACATTTTGAGAAAGAAATTAGTAGAAAAATTAATGGATAAAAATTGGTGTTTACAGTTGCCCCTCTTTACTTGAATTTTACTAAAGAATGTGAATAACAATAGTTTTCATATAATTGTAGTAAAAGATAAGTAAAGACTTAAACTCCAATTTTTCCTATGAAAACAGTTGCATGTATTCACCACACAGAGAAAATATAGTCACGAGGATTTAGCATAAATTGAAAAGTATAAGGATTTAAAAGCAATAACCATAGGGATCCTAAAATATCAAAAGAATAGTGGACTCTAGGATCCAGAATATTGGAAGCAAAGAGCGCGTAGACTCAAATATGAAAATAGTGCACTTGGAGACCCAAAATATTGAAAGCTAAGAGCAAGAGGACTCAAAATATGAAAATAGTTGACTTAGGGATCCAAAATATTGAGAGCTAAGAGCACGAGGACTCAAAATATGAAAATAATGGACTTAGAGATTCGAAATATTGAGAGCTAAGAGCACGAGGACTCAAAATATTAAAATAGTGGACTGGGAGATACAAAATATTGAGAACTAAGAGCACGGGGACTCAAAATATAAAAATAGTGGACTGGGGATCCAAAATATTGAGAACTAAAAGCACAGGGACTCAAAATATGAAAACAATGGACTTGGGGATCCAAAATATTAAGAACTATGAGCACGGGGACTCAAAATATGAAAATAGTGGACTTGGGGATCTAAAATAATGAGAACTATGAGCATAGGGACTCAAAATATGAAAATAGTGGGCTCGAGGATCCAATTTATTGAGAGTTAAGAGCACGAAGATTCAAAATATGAAAACAGTGGACTCGAGGATCCAATATATTGAGAGCTAAGAGTAAAAGGACTCAAAATATGAAAACAATGAACATGAGGATCCAAAATATTGGGAGCTAAGAGCAGGGAAACAAAAAATATGAAAATAGTGGACTCTAGGATCCAAAATATTGGGAGTTAAGAGCTCGAAGACTCAAAATATGAAAATAGTGGACTAAGGGATCCAAAATATTGAGAACTATGAGTGTCGCTACCCGAAAATTTTTTATCTCGCAACTAAATGGTTTGGACTTCTGTTTGAAAAAATCTCATTAATTAAGGAATGTCCGGATACTAGACTAATTCTTGATTAATGGTTTTGAAAATAGGTTCTTGAAGTATCTACCAATGTTTTACTCAAAACATTGGAAAAAGAAAATATTTTTGAAAATTCCAGTAAAGGCCTTCATAGTCAAAATTGGGTTCAGGGGTCGGTTACGTGCAGGGAAGGTATTAAGCACCCCTACAATGCCCTAAATCAGTACCCTATGATGAAGAAAGCGTGATAAGAATTAATAGTTTAAATATTTGATCCCCTTTATTAATGGCTATTTACATGAAATTTAAATTACACGATTAACCCTAAGATGTCCACATGGTTGCTTTTGTTATAACAATATTTGAAAATAAAAGAAGTAAAAGATAGAGAAAGAGATTGATAAACAATATCTCGTAGCAAGCTTTATTAGATCTTCAACTATGGAGATTTTAGGTGCTTTATGGCAACCTCACACTACACAAACACTTCACAGATCTCAAGAAATACAAACAAAGAGAAAGGGAGAGAGATTTCGAGCTATATATGGAGTTTTAGATGAATTTTTCTGGCCCCAGGAGCAGTGCTCGAGTCTGATATTTATAGACAACAGAAATGGCCAGAACGACCTATTCTAGATCCGGAACGTCCCGTTCTGGTCCAATCTGTTATGTGTTAAATTTGAATCTGAAACAGGTTGTTCTGAATGCAAAACGACCCGTTCTGGATTTCAATTTCACTCATAACAAACATTGTTGGAACGGCCCGTTCCAAACGAGGGTTTCTAAGCCATTCTAGTAGTTTGGAACGGCTCGTTCCGGGCTATTAAACCACCTTTATTGGGCTTTTGGCCTTCTGATGTCACATCATGTTGTTTCCATGCTTTGGGAGCTCCTTTCCTTGATGATAGATGTCAATTTCCTTATTTGTATGTCACGGATGAAATTGGGTGTCTACAATGAGCACGGGGACTCAAAATATGAAAATATGGACTCAGAGATAAAAAATATTGAGAATTGTGAGCATGGGGACTCAAAATATGAAAATAGTGGACTCGGGGATTGAAAGTATTAAGAGTTAAGAGCACGAGGACTCAAAATATGAAAATAGTGGACTCGAGGATCCAATATATTGAGCGCTAAGAGAAAAGGGACTCCAAATCTGAAAATAGTGGACTCGAGGATCCAAAATACTGGGAGCTATGAGCAAGGGGACTCAAAATATGAAAATAATGGATTCAAGGATCCAAAATATTGAGAATTATGAGCATGAGGACTCAAAATATAAAAATAATGGACTGGGGATCCAAAATATTGAGAACTAAAAGCACAAGGACTCAAAATATGAAAATAGTGAACTTGGGGATCCAAAATAATGAGAACTATGAGCATGGGGACTCAAAATATGAAAATAGTGGACTCGGGGATCCAAAATATTGAGAGTTAAGAGAACGAAGATTCAAAATATGAAAAGAATGGACTGGAGGATCCAATATATCGAGAGCTAAGAGAAAATGGACTCAAAATATGAAAACAGTGGACTCGAGGATCCAAAATACTGGGAGCTAAGAGCAAGGGGACTCAAAATATGAAAATAATGGACTCAAGGATCCAAAATATTGAGAGTTAAGAGCATGATGACTTAAAATATGAAAATAGTGGACTCGGGGATCCAAAATATTGAGAACTATAAGCATGAGGACTCAAAATATGAAAATAGTGGACTCGGGGATCCAGAATATTGAGATTTAAGAGCACGGGGCTCAAAACATCAAAAGAGTGAGCACGGAAGCTCGAAACATTTAAAAAGTGAGCGCGGAGGCCCGAAACATTAACAAAGTAAGCGTGAAGGCTCAAAACATTAATAGAGTGAGCACTGAGGCTCAAAACATTAAAAGAATGAGTACGAGGGATCAAAGCATAGAAAAAGAGAATGGGTGGGAGGGCTCAAACATTAATAGAGTGAGATAGTAGTCGAGTATGTTTGGGAAAATTTAAACTTAAGAATTGTGATAAGTGCTCGATTGGTTCATGATTAATGAAATGTATGCACAATATGCAATGTGAAATGACCTTAGAGGAAAATTAAATGGGTTATCATTTTTCATCCTTCTTCACCATCATTTTTCCGACCTTTGACCCCCTTATGAGCATGAGTGCTCAAGTCGACCTATTTTCAAATTATCATGTCAAAAGATAGCTCTCTTTACTTATTAGAATAATACACTTCAAAGCTTTCAACATCTAATATATTCTTTGGTAAATTTAGCTAAAGATCTCTTATTTCTTTGTTACTCTTAAAATTAAACATTGTAATGAAATACTCTGATTTATTTTTTTATAATTTTATTTATTTGCTTTTCTTACATAGCATGTTGCATTTTTAGCATATAATAATGAAGTAAACACACATAAACAACGAATATGGAGAATATTGGCTTGTTATTGCTTCAAGGAAGAAAGTACAAGTACATGAGACTGGAGATAATCAAAACAAGGCAAAATAACTAATCATATTTTTAGGGAACAACACTAATTCCTCATATCAACAACTCTAAGAACCCCTTAAGATGGCCTCTGAAGGCATCAAATGCTTGCTAACCATTTTGAACATAGCCTTGATCTTCCAATTTTCCCCAACTTCATACTTTGGTTGTAATCTTTACTTCCTTCTTGTAGACCCCTAAAATTGTCCGGGTCGGAAATAAAGCTCAAAGACTCTCAAAGACCGAAGGAAAGTCAGCCGGAAGGACTCCTGGAAGACCCTAGGATGATTCTTTGTAGGTCTAGAAGTCTTAGAGTAGCTTAGAATAAGGGTGTGTGAGGATTGAAGCTCAATACACCCTCCCAGAGGTTCAGTACGGCCGTACTGAGCCATTTGAACTGCAATACGGCCGTAGTGAAATCAATACGGCCGTACTGAAGTTTTTGAACTTCAGTACGGCCGTACCAAATTCAATACGGCCGTACTGTAGTTCAAAAAACTTCAGTACGGGCCGTAGTGAAATCAATACGGCCGTACTGAAGTTTTTGAACTTCAGTACGGCCGTACCAAATTCAATACGGCCGTACTGTAGTTCAAAAAACTTCAGTACGGGCCGTAGTGAAATCAATACGGCCGTACTGAAGTTTTTGAACTTCAGTACGGCCGTACCAAATTCAATACGGCCGTACTGTAGTTCAAAAACCCAGTACGGGCCGTATTGACCTCCCAGGCCGTATTGCGCCTCAATCCTATAAATAGGACGTCATTGGCACGTCCTCCCACACTTTTTCCATACTTTTGGACCCTCTGGCTGAGTATTCTGGGGTTTTTGAGCAGTGTTCTGCCCTAGAAATCTCTCCGAGAGCCGATCCGACGAAGTTCTTGAGTTCTGAGCATTTAGCTTGAGGATTCGAACTAGTCGAAGGGAAATCTCTTTGATTTCCGGAGTAAAAATTATTTTTAGGGAAGGAACGAGCGAGCGTGTAGTGGGAAGGAGCGCCAAAAAGCCTCCTAACGTCTGTTTAAATATATAAAAGCACGCTTCAAAGGTTTCTTTTCCAAATCCCTTCTTTTACCGCTTTCTGATTGTTGCATTGCATATTTAGAATTTTCATCATGTATATATTCCGCTTATAATCGTTTCTAATAAATAGGGGTAATTTAGTAATTTTACACTGTTATTTATGAAATAATCCGTCATAGGGAACCCGAAAGGGGCGTTGTGGGGTGCTAACACCTTCCCCGCACGTAATCGACTCCCTTACCCAACTCTGGTTGTAATGGCCAAGGTTGATTTGCGAAAATCAATTGCCTTATCCCTTTTTCCAATGTTTTGAGTAAAACATTGGTGGCGACTCCAAGAACCCTTCTTTTTGCGAAAACCACTAATCCATGGAGGGTCCCGCTTGGGATTAACATGGATTGGTGAATCATTTAATAAAATTGTTAGTTCGATGAGGTCTCAGTTTGAGAA